GATAAGGGCGCCTCTTCCCATCTCGCGCATTGCTGCTGCTGCCCTGAGGGCGCTGCTGCTGCTGCGAAGAAAAGGAGGGATCACCCGGCTTACGCTTCACCGCCGAGATCTTGTGCGCACCGAGTTTCTCAGGCTTCTTGCCTTGAGACTGGTCCCAAGCAGTGGTAACTGCTTCCCGTACCGCACCTATGCCCATGTTGTCAGCAGAGGTAGCTTGGACCAGCATCTGCGCAATGTTCTCATAGCGGCTGGGGAGTGCATAAAGGCAGATTAGACCTTCAATAAGCGCGGGAATCTTGACCTTGGCCGCTTCCAAAGTGTCGAAATGTTTGGATATCTTCGCGAAGGCTGGAGCAGGGTGCTGATCAGCCGGAATCTTCGTCGATAAGGCCCCCCGCAGCTCATGGTAAATGGCGCCGAGGGACATAGATGAATAGAGGGAAGACAATTGGTCCCAAGTTTCCTTGGCCGATTTCTTGTCCTTTATGTAGGAGGCGACGGCGGGAGAGCAGCGAAGACGGATCGTACCCATAGCCCTGACGTCTTTTTCCTTCCAGGCGTCAGCAGCGGTAGAGTCCCTGGTAGTACCGGAGACGACGACAGCTGGTTGCGTGATGCTGCCATCAACATTCCCCCAGAGGCCTTGGGACATGAGGTACGCCATCATTTGCTCGGACCAGGTAGGCCAGTTCGAGCCGTCGAGGACGGGGACAACAGCGATCAAGTTGTTCGACATTGTTGAGGAGCGGTTGAGAGATCTGAAATCTGTATTGAGATCTCATCAGTATCAGCGAAGCTATGCAGCCCGATAAGGGCGCACTGCTTCATGCTGTTGGCTCCATTAGGGAGTTACCCCAGGATTGATCATCAAGCCTGATGGCTGCTGATAACAGTGCCTACGGCGATGATCATGCATCAAGCCACACTGCAGCCTGTGAGGGCGCATAGGGCGATGCACAGGTGAGCAAGGCGCAACGCGCTGCAGCGAGTTACCGCGCAGACGCAAGCTGCCTATTTGGGCTCATAACCTGATGAAGAGTTATGGAGGCAGCAGCACGCACAGTGCGCCCTACACAACTCACCTGTATTGAGTGAATGCTGTAGCTACTGGTAAAGCTTGTATGAACGACCCTTGTCATTAGGCAGCAGAGCTGCAGGGTTTATATACACTGTGGCCCATAGGCTGACTAAGCTACGTGGAATATCTATAATCCTACTGAGCTCCACCTATGATGTCACTGACCCACATGAGCTCCGTGCCATTGTACAATAATGGAATATACCAGAATATTCCAGAGGGTTCCAGTACATTCTGGTACATTGTAGAACCTGGCAGCTAAGTCAGCGCCTAGTTCAACAGGATGGATAATTGGATCAGGGGTTGGATGACGAGAGGTCGAATGGGAAGTTGCTGGGGTGGTCTCCTGGTTGGATGGGGGGTTCTGATAGTCGACGGGTAGGAAGTCGCGAAGGGGAACGAGTAGTCCTCGATGCAGGAGGATATGAGTGAGTCGGAATGTGGTATGCTCCACAGTGTCGTAAGTGGACTGGAGTAGATCTTGTATTTGTGCGTTCAGGTCGCACAACTTGGAGATTGTTTGAAGATCGTCTTCTAGTTCCAATATCTCTCTGGCAACACCTGCCCCCAGTGCATCTCGTCCTAGTCATCGTCGAAGGGATGGGTCGTGGTAGTGTTCTGTCAAGGTTTGGTGGATGATACTGATAAAGTGGGGGTCCCGATCATAGGGGCAATTGCGAGGAGGATGTTGAGAAGAGGTGAAGGTGCACGAATCGTTCCGTGAGCGAGACATGGTATGAGTTGTTGGTGAGTCCTGCTAGAGATGGTTCCGGCTTTTATATTCTTGAAGTAGGCTCTTGGCGTTCTCAAGCACATGCTCGGGTTCCCATGAATTTTCGGCCGACGGGTATCCTTTCCATTTGACAAGGTACTTGCGGCGTGAGGTGCTCCCACGGTGGGCTAAGATGGCCTCAACTTCGTACTCTTCTTCACCTTCGATATCATCCGGTGGAGGTCGGAGATAGTTCGGCCCGTGAGTGGAGTTTTCTCGATAACGTGAAAGAAGCGAAGGATGAAACACGGGGTGAATCTTCCAGGATTTGGGTAAGTCTAGACGGTACGAGAGTGGGCCTAGAACTTCCTTGATCTTGAATGGTCCTTCGCATTTTGGGGCGATCTTCCTGGATGGGTAATTGATCCGTAGGTTCTTGCCTTCTAGCCAAACCTTCTCTCCAACTTCGAATGGGGTGAATCCTTGTCGGCTTCTATCGATCATCTTCTGTCGCGCCAATTCGTGCATGGCGATCGCTTCTTCTCTTGCAGCTTGTAATCGTTTAAGCCTTTCCTCTACTGATGGTAGCTCCGTATTGATTGTGACTGCGGGTATTGCTCGCGGATGATAACCCATCATGAGGTAGAAAGGCGATTCGTTCCTGGCTGAATGGGATCGCTGATTGTGAGCAAATTCCGCATCACAGAGTACTTCAGCCCATCCGTTGGGATTGTTGGCGCAGAATATCCGCAGATAGGTTTCCAGTTCTTGGTTGACCCTTTCAGTTTTGCCATCGGTTTGAGGGTGATAAGCAGTGCTGAGCTTGGATTTGATGCCTAGCAGCTTGCACGTTTCTTGGAATACCTTTGATGCAAATTGAGGTCCCCTATCGGATATGATGGTAT